TTACGAGGAAGCAAAGAAAAGATGGACAGCTTGGAACACAATGCGTTGTATTTATTATATAGGCTTTCTTGAAATGGAAATTTATTGCTGTATATTTTGAATCTTTTCTTATGTTCTGCTGTGCATGGGGCAATGCTTTTTTCTTTTTTCTTTTGTATTTAAGTTTATAATGTTTCTTTTTCTTTACTTACTGTGTATTTTGGTTTTAGTATTTAAGCTTAAAATAAATTAATTTTTTTAAATGAAAGAAAAAAAAGATCCCAAAATGAAAATTCCAAGGAATGTTATAGCCAAATTCCAGAACTATCAGGTCAAGGAGAAAATACTATAAGCAGCCAGAAAGAAATAATTCATATGTCAAGGAAGCACAGTCAGGATTACACAGAACTTAGCAGATTCTATATTAAAGGATCAGAAGGCTTGGAATATGATATTCCAGAAGGAAAAGGAACTTGGATTACAACCAAGAATCAACTACTCAACAAAATTTAGCATAATCTTTCAGGAGAAAGGATGGAAATTCAATGAAATAGTGGACTTTCAAAATTTCCTGATGAAAAAAGCAGAGCTGAACAGAAAATTTGATCTTCAAGTACCAGACTCAAGAGAAGCATAAAAAGGTAAACAGGAAAGAAAAAAACAACATGGTATTCAATAAGGTTAAATTGTTTATATCCCTAAGTGGGAAGATGATATTTGTTACTCTTAAGAACTGTATCTCTATTAGGGCAGTTGGAAGGAGTGTACTTAGACAGAGGGTTTAAGTACAAGTTGATTTTGATGTGATGATTAAAAAAATGAATTAAGGAGTAAAAAAGAAGATTGTACTGGTAGAAGAGAAAAGGTGAAGGCAGAATGGGTAAATTATATCACATGAAGAGGCATGAAAGACATTACAGTAACGAGAAAAAGGGAGAGGGTGAACATTGTTTGAACCTTACTCTCATCAGATTTGGCTCAAAGAGAGGATAACGTACACATGCAGTTGGGTAAAGAAATCTATCTTACCCCACAGGGAAGGAGGAAGGGAAAGGGAAGAGAGGGGAAATGATAGCAGGGAGGGCAGATTGAGGCGGGCAGTGTTCAAAAGCAAAACACTGGTGAGGAGGAACAGGGTGAAAGGAGAGAGAGAGAGAGAAAAGTATAAAGAGGGGAAAAATAGGGTGGAGGGACATACAAGATAGTAATCATAACTGAATGTGAATGGGATAAACTTTCCCATAAAACAGAAGTGGATAGCAGAGTGGATTAAAAACCAAAATCCCACAATATGGTGTTCACAAGAAATATATCTGAAGCAGAGAGACACACACAGAATAAAGGTAAAAGGCTAGAGCAGAATATATTATGCTTCAGCTGAAGTTAAAAAAAATAAAGCAGGGGTAGCAATCCTAATCTCAGACAAAGCAAAAGAAAAAATAGATCTAATTAAAAGTGACAAGGAAGAAAATGACATTTTGCTAAAAGGTACCATAGACAATGAAGTACTATCAATAGTAAACACATATCACCAAGTGGAATAACATCCAAATTCTTAGAGAAGTTAAGTGAGTAACAGGAAGAAATAGACAGCAAAACTATACTAGTGGGGGACCTCAACTTCAACATCTTAGAACTAGATACGTCTAACCACAAAATAAACAAGTAAGAAGTTAAGGAGGTGAATAGAATTTTAGAAAAGTTAGATATGATAGACTTCTAGAGAAAATTAAATGGGTACATAGCACCTACACAAAACATGGCTACGTATAAGGGCATAAAAACCTAACAATCAAATGTAGAAAGGCAGAAATATTAAATGCATCCTTTTCAGATCATGATACAATAAAAATTACATGTAATAAAGGGCCATGGAAAGACAGATTAAAATTTAATTGGAAACTAAATAATCTAATCCTAAAGAATGAGTGGGTCAAACAACAAATTAGAGAAATAATCTTTGACAAAAACTACTGGGAAAATTGAAAATAGTATGGCAGAAACCAGACATAGATCAGCATCTCATACCCTATGCCAGAATAAGGTCAAAAAGGGTACATAACTTAGATATAAAGACTGATACTATAAGCAAACTAGGAGAGCAAGGAATCATTTACCTATCAGATCTATGGAGAAGGGAAGAATTTTTGACCAAACAAGAGATAGAGAACACTATGAAATGCAAAATGGATGACTTTGATTACATTAAATTGAAAAATTTTTGCACAAACAAAGCCAATACAACCAAGATTAGAAGGGAAGCAGAAAGTTGGGAAACAATTTTTATAGCCAGTGTCTCTGATAAAGGCCTCATTTTCTAAAATACATAAAGAACTGAGTTGAATCTATAAGAATACAAGTCATTCCTCAATTGATAAATGGTCAAATGATACGAATAGGCAGTTTTCAGAGGAAGAAATTAAAGCTATCAATAGCCATATGAAAAAAATGCTCTAAATCACTATTGATTAGAGAAATGCAAATCAAAATGAATCTGAGGTACCACATCATACCTATCAGATTGGCTAACATAACAAAACAGGAAAATAATAAATGTTGGAGAAGATGTGGGAAAATTGGAACACTAATGCATTGTTGGAGGAGTTGTGAACTGATCCAGCCATTCCAGAGAGCAATTTGAAACTATGCCCAAAGAGCTATAAAATTGTGCATACCCTTTGACCCAGCAATACTACTTCAGGGTCTGTATCCCAAAGAGATCATAAAAATGGTTAAAGGACCCATATGTACCAAAATATTTATAGCAGCTTTTTTGTGGTGGCAAAGAATTGGAAATTGAGGGGATGCCCATCAATTGGGGAATGGCTGAACAAGTTGTGGCATATGAATGTAATGGAATATTATTGTGCTATAAGAAATGATGAGCAGGCAGACTTCAGAAAAACCTGGAAAGACTTATATGAACTGATGCTGAGTGAAATGAGCAGAACCAGGAGAACACTGTACACAGTAACAGCCACAATGTGTGATTAACTTTGATGGACTTGGCTCTTCATAGCAATGCAAGAGTCTAAGACACCTCCAAAAGACTCATGATGGAAATTGTTATCCACATCCAGAGAAAGAACTATGGAGTCTGAATGCAGATGGAAGCATACTATTTACTCTCCTTTTCTTTTGCTGTTTTGTTTTATTTCTTTTTTCTTGTGGTTCCTCCCATTAGTTCTAATTCTTCTATACATCATGACTAATGTGAAAATATGCTTAATATGAATGCATAAGTAGAGCCTATATCAGATTGCACACCATCTTGAGGAAGTGGGAGGAGAAGGATGGGGAGAAAATTTTAAAACTCAAAATCTTATGGAAGTGATGCTGAAAACTAAAATAAATAAATTATTATAATTTACAAAAAAAAAAGAAAAAATGCTCTACATCACCATTGATTAGAGAAATGAAAATCAAAACAACTCTGAGGTACTACCTCATACCTATCAGAGTGGCTAATATGACAGAAAAGAAAAATGATAAATGTTGGATAAGATGTGGGAAAATTGGGACTTTAATGCATTGTTGGTAGAGTTGTGAACTGATCCAACCATTCTAGAGAGCAATTTGGAACTATGCCCAAAGGGCAATCAAACTGTGCATAACCTCTGATGCAGCAATACCACTACTAGGTCTGTACCCCAAAGAGATCATTAAAAAAGGGAAAGAGCCTACTTGAATAAAAATATTTATGGGAACTCTTTTTGTGATGGCAGAGAATGGGAAATTGAAGGAATGCTCATCAATTGGGGAATGATTGAATAAGTAGTGGTATATGAATGGAATGGAATACTGTTTGTTACAAGAAATGATAAGAAGATGGATTTCAGACTTACGTAAACTGATTCTGAGTGAATCAAGCAGAACCAGGTGAACATTGTACATGGTAACAGTAACACTTCGATGATCAACTATGATTGACGTGGCTCTTTTCAACAATGCAATGATCCAAGGCAATTCCAAACAATTCATGATGGAAAATGCTGTCCACGTCCAGAGAAAGAACTATGGAGTCTGAATGCAGATCGAAGCACATTATTTTCATTTTGGGGGTTTATTTTTGTCTGTTTGTTTTTGTTTGTTCTGTTTGTTCATGTTCTTTCAGAACATGAATAATGTGGAAATGTTTCCATGTTTGCACATGTATAACCTATATCAGATTGCTTCCATCTTGGGGAGGGAGGGAGAGAGAAAGAGAAATTTAGAACTCAAAATCTTATAAAAATGAATGTTGAAAACAACTTTTACATGTAATTGGAAAAAAATAAAAATATTATTTACAAAAAAACAAACTAGAAAAAATAAACAAGCAAACAAAAACCACAGGTGAGTTCCGCAGGATGAGCAAGTACAGATCACAAATCTTATTCATTTCCTTTTCATCCGATGCCACCCCTCTTCCAAACTGTGAAGCTGTGAAGGGCAACACCATCTGGCTGTCATTATTATTTTCTCTCATCCTACGTATGTAACCAGCTGCCAAATCTTATTGTCCTTACCTCTATATCTGTCCCATCTTTTTCCTTTCTCAACTTACTTCATTATCACCTTATTTCAGACTGTCATCACCTCTCAACCAGGACTATTGCAATAGTCTCTTATCTGTTCCCCCCTCCAAGTTTCTCCCATTCTCATGCCAGCTGAGACACATCTCCTAAAGTGATTTTCCTAAACTGTAGGTCTGACCATGTTACACACACCCCTCAATATACTCTAGTGACTTCCTAATGACTCTAGGACAAAATATTGTATCATCTTTATGGATTATTCCTTTCAAAATTTTTAATTTTTGGTAAATTTTAGAAGGCACATAATTATTAGTACAGAAGTACGCATATATAATTTCTAAATAATTATACTCACACGGGGGCAGTACCATCAAAAATTTTTACTGATATAAATATGGAGACTATTGAAGGAGTTGAGAAAAAGGGGAAATCATTGAAGACTGGAATACTCAGAGATAATTTCACCCCGTAACTGATCAATCTAGACAACTCAATTCACTTCAACAAATGTATTTATTGAGTGTTTACTACATGCTTGGGCACTATGGGAGATACAAAGATGAAGAAGACATTCTTGGGAAATTTACAGTCCGTGTTTTGGAATGATACACTAAGTCCATGCACAAATAACTACAGTACAAATTTAGATGTAAAAAATACCATATGAGAATTACAAAGTAATGGGGGAGGGGATTTGGAGTAAGGAGAGATCACAATTGTTAGATCTTTGGGGATGGAGATTTCATGGCCTCCCCTGGTAGTCTCTTCCAGGGATCAGTAATTCTTCTCTTAATCTGAAAATCCTTTCTGGAGTCTCACTGAAATTTAAAATCTCTTCATCCATTCTTTGGTGGTGAGCAATCAATAAGCATCCTTCATTTTAACACCCCTCCTAGATTTAAAAATAATTAAGTCCTCACAACCTCACCTTTTTCTTCTCAAGGTTGAACCCCAGCTCCTTTGGCCTCCTCTTTCAACTATAGGGAAGAGGTGGTATGGAATTTATGTCCAGGAGCTCCTGGTCCTAGTGTTCCAGGGAGACACTGAGGGCCTCAGGTCTCCCTCTGAGAGGCTCAGACTGCCACAGATAGGAGACTTGATCTCCCTGATTGCCTTCCGTGGGGATGACTGTGGAGGAATTAGGCTTCCTGGGACTGTAGCGCTTCCAAGCTCAGCTTCTCAGGGAGATCTTGAAAGTTAGTTAGCTGGATTAGGGAAAACGTGGGCTTCTGTGTCCGAACAGCTGCATAGGCATAGAAAACCTTGTGAGGGTTATTGGACCTGGAAAGTTCTTCCCCTTATAGCTCTTCACCTGAAGAAATACTTTGTTCTCAAAGCATCCCGCCACCAAGCAACTGTTTGGGACCCCAGAGCAAGGAATGTTCAGCAGAGTACTAGGACTATGGAATCTATAGCCTGTGGACTCAGGCTGCCCCCCTCCCCCACTCTAGGCCCCTCCCACCAGCCTCAGCCCCAGCCCCAGTTACTATATAACTCTTTGCTTACTAACACTTAGCTCTGGACCCTGGACTGGCAGAGACCTGATTTAAAATAATTTCAGCTCAAGCACACAGAATGTATAGTCTTTGGCTGATTCATTGTTTGGTGAGACTTTTCTTTCTGTCCCTCTTTCTCTGTCTCCATATACAAGGGGGTGGAGTGGGGTGACTTGGAGGGCATGCAAGCTTCTATTTAGCAATTCCTTTAGGACACCATTTTAAAAAATGTTCTTGATAGATTTTGTTTTTACATAGCCTAAATTATCCCCATATCCTTCTCCCAGAGGAGCCATCCCTTATAACAAAAAATGTTTTTAAAAAAGGAAAATAAGAGAAAAAAATTTCACAAAACCCGTCATTATACTGAAAAAGTCTGACAATGTTTCACATCCATAGACTCCCCCACCCTTCAATATCTCTGCAAAGAAGAGGGGGAAAGGCCTTCAAGACATCTCAAATTGTGTGAGCACAAACTTGCCAAGGGAGTTGGCAGGCAGAGGTCTCAATCTCAGCTCTGTGACTTCCTAGCTGTATAACCTTGGAAAGCAAATTTCCCTCTTATTTTTAGCTTCCTCACCTGTAAAATGAGGGACTTGGAGTAGATGATTTCTAAATTTCCTTCAAGTTCTAAATCTTAAGATTCATATGATCTTCCAAAGAACTTCATCTTTAGCATTATTGGTCCTAGGAAGCAGTGACTGGGAAATGATGATTGTGCTCATTGTAGAGATAGACAAACTGAGGCCCAGATAGGTAGACTTGTCTAGAGGCCTACAGAAAGTATAAGGGGAGTTCTGTATCTAGATCTCTGATCTCCTACCCTACCTCATCCCTTAGTCTACTACCCTAACCATCAGACATAACTGCATCCCTTATAGCATCAAAAAGGATGTAAAAATTGCCATTCCCCATACCTGGACCCCAGTGACTTACAGATCCTCTTTCGAAGCTTCCTTAGCAGTAGCAACAGAACCAGGAGAACAAGTGGAAGCAACACAGTAGAGAGAGTAATTAGGATCTGGGAGACACGCTTCTGATCTGGAGATGAGCTGGGGAAGAAAGGAGAAGAGAGGGCTGAGGAAGGGTAGGAAACGGGGAGGACCCAAGAAGGACTTTGCTTATAGTCAAAACATCCTAAAACTTAAGAGTTGGAAAAGACCTTGTGGACCATCTAGTCCAACATCCTCATTTTATGGAGGAAGAAACTAAGACACTGAGAGGTACTCAATTACACACGGCTTGCTAGTCACTGAGCCAGGACTAGAGTAACTCAGGCCTTTTGAGAGTCAGCCTAGGGCTCTTTCTCCATCACCGTGCTACATAAGGGTGTCTATATGCTCAAGGTGGCCCATTCACAGCCTATGAGAAAGGTTGTGCTATCTATCTGAAATTGTACTGGATTAGGGAATGAAGATCTGTTCTACTCCTTTCTCAGACATAAAATTATTAGCTGTGTGACCTTGGCCAAGACACTATATCTTTCTGAGTCTCTGTCTAAACTTCCAAAATGAGGGCTTTGGATTAAATATTTTCACTCATCCCATTTGGTTCTTTCATTTTATGATTCAAACTATCTAATTAAACTATGAGAGAGGAAGGGAGGGAAGAAAGAAGGAAAGGAAGGAAGGAAGGAAAAAAGGAGGGAATAAGAGAGGGAAAGAAACAAAGAAAAAAGGAAGGAGAAAGAGAGAGAGAGAGAGAGAGAGAGAGAGAACTTTCCAGCATAGATAACAACCTCTCAAGTGAGACTTCTGAAGGGGTAAGGAAAGGAAGCAACAGACTGAGGTGAAACATTGTCGTATCTGTTGTCCTTATCTTTATCTGAGGAAAAAGAAGGAAGGATAACAAATCAAGTGGACTCCTCATCAATTCTAAGTCCAATTTTAGGATGAGTGAGCAAAGATGAAGAAGGACCCAGAGAATGGAGCTAAAGGGCCAGAGTGGCAAGAGTGGTACCTCTGGAGGAGAGACACAGGCTCTTACTTCTCCATGAAGGGCTTCTTGCTGGGAGGAATCAGAAGTGCAGCTCCTGGAATTCTCAGTGGTTCCTCAGAATGACTTTCTCTACCAATAGCAGCTGTTCCTTCTAAGACTGAAGCTTCCCCTTTTCTAATGGTTCCTGAGAACCAAGCACCTACATCTGCATCTGGGGCTGTAGCTCTGGTGACCTCCTGAATCTGTTGGTCTGTGCCTGGAGTTACTTCTCTGAGACTGTCTCTGACCGTTGTTGAAGGCCTCATGGTTCCCGGGCTGTTTCTGGTGGTAATCTGAGGTATTCCAATGTTCACAGTTCCCTCAGTTAGCCTATGTGTGCTTCTGATGGTTAATTTCCTTTCTCTAATGGTTCCTCCAACTGTTTTCGTCACTGCCCTAGTTCCCAAGACCAAACCACCTTCCATGGTGCTTGATGTTACTTTGGCTCCTGAAGTCTGTCGCTCTGGAACTAAATTTGCTGCTCTTGTGGTTTCCAGACCCCAGTCACCAGTACCTGGACTCGTTAATCTAACTATTGCTGGAGGCTGTAGATTTTTGCTTGAAGCTTGTGCTGGTAGCTGAGTGACTCTAATCAGAGCTGGATCTCCTCTGCTAATTCCTGCTCCCTGTCCTTTTGCCACCAGACTTGTGTCAAGGTCCTGTCTGCCTGCAGCTAGAATTGTTCTTCCAAGAGTTCCTGGACCCCGTCTACCTGCAACTGAGATGATTGTTGCAAGGGTTCCTGAGGTCTTGGCAACTGTGTTTGGAGTGATATGTCCGCTGCAATTTCCTGCCCCGTGTCCTTTTATAACCAAGGTTGCATCAAAGACCTGACTACCTGGAGCTGAAGCTGTTGTTTCGATAGTTTTTGGAACCCATCCATCTACACCTGGGGCTGTTACTCCAGTGCTTCCTCTGTGTATTTCACCTGGAGTGATATCTTTTCTTTTGGTTCTTGTCTCCCACTCCTCTATAAGCAGGGTTGTGTCAAGGTCCTGTCCACCTGTAACTGTA